AACAACAACAATAATAGTAATAATAATAACACTAACAACAACTATTAAACTTTAAAGAAATATGAAATAATTTTTACAAAATTGTATAAATTTTAGTATCTAATCCTAATAATTGAGAGAAAATGTACTTTTCAATTAGTGTCAATCAATAAAATGTGAACTGATACGAACACTACTACTACTACTACTACTACGAAATAATGTCAAAAAAGAAAGTTAATACACAAAATAATTAACAATAACTAGGTGTAAATACAAGTATTAAACAAAATATTTTAGCTTTATACCTTTATTTCACTCCTAATCTCTTCATATGTATGAACTCAGTGTTATAATGTAGTGGCTTTGCTTTGTTAATCAGTCACTTTTGTAACCATTAATACATAAATCCAAACGATGGTTGAAATCAGAAGTCATTAAGAAGTGACGATCACAGTTTATTAGCGGATAGTACGGATAACAATGTAGACTAATATGATGCTGAGACGTTTGTATAACATTTAGTCATATGACAACAATCCACATTTATTAATCATAAAGAAGTGATGTTCACTTAAAATTAAGAAGACATTTATATATAACAGATAAATAGCGACAAATATAAAACTCAACTTCTCCCTTAATACCAACAGCAAGTAAATTATGCACTTCAGTCAGTTACCCTTACTGCGGCATAAGCCATCGACTAGAAATCTCCAACCATCTCTGTTCTGATCTTTTCTCTCCATTTGTTGCCAAGTACTATTTGTTCTTTCAATGTCTGCGTTCAACTTTCAGGACCACGTCCTTTGATTTGCCTCTTTCCATTTTACTTTGAAAATTACAAGTTACGGCTTGTTTTGTGATGTAGTTTGATGATTTCTGTAAAGTGTCCTATTCACTGTTGACATCTTTCCCTAATTTCGTCAGCTAGCAGCTGGTTTGTTCTTTGACAGAGTAAGTCATTACTAAGTCTATGACAAATGGATCTGAAATATCTTGTGTAGACAATTGTTTATAAATACCCGTGCTTTTAGTGATAGTAGTGGCAGTCGGTCAAGTTTCAGCTCAGCGAATTTCGTGTGACGGTGACTATCCTCTCACTTACTCTAGGGTATCGAAGACGATCCCACAAAGTTTTTCCATTCACACTATTAATTTTTTCCCATAATCAAGGGAGTTGATGTATAGTGATAAATTCCTTTCAGTCGACTGTACAACAATCATCTAAAATGTCGTGACTTAGTCTTCACATGATCGATCCTTACGAAAGTTTGTCTGTAGATCTCGAAATTTGGAGTCAATTGGATCTTCCGTTCGGTTCAAGCGTGACTCAATATTTATACCCAGACAAAAATAAGCCAAAGACATGTGATAAGTGGAATAAACGATTAACACACATACACTCATATAAAAAGTAGTCAAGGTTAGTTAGAGAATAACTGATAATGTCAAAATGTGACTCAAGAAGACGAAATACGTCAGTCTGTCCGGAAGCTAGAATAACTCAAATGAACTCTACGTAGAGCTAGACATTACAAGTCCAGCCGCTTCTGTATTATTGATCTGTCCGATGACCTCGTTGACTTCCTCGATTTTTGGAGCGGCAATATCAATAAGAGGGTCTAAATGTGTTATTTTGACATCCGGTGAGTTCAGTAGTACCGGTCTATTCAATAACCCTTCAAAGTCTTCTACACATTTGTCCCACTTTTCCTCGACTGGTCACACTAACATGCCATACTTCCTGCTACTGTTTTCGTTATATCATAAAGTTCTCTCATATTTCTTTCTTTCGCAGCTTTTTTCTGCTGTCGTTGATAGGTCTTCCACATATTTTCGCTCATCAGCTTGAATGCTTTACTTGCTTGTTCGCTTCTATGTATAGACCCTGTCTCTTGGTATTCGTTGCTCTCGTTCAGCTGTCATTGACTATTGCATTTCTGTTCTACTGTTCTTGAATCTTACCCACGATATCAGCAGAGATCCACTGTTTATCCTGGTTCTTTTTGTGGTCCAGCACCTCATGGCATGTTGAAGTTGTTTTTTATTTAATCCCTTTTCAGTCTCTCATTATAATGATTTCCTATTTTGGTAGAGTTTGCGGAGCTTAGAGCTCGTTACCGAAAGCCATATTGAATTCGCTGAGTTTGTTAGTATCACTACGGTAGCCTGTATCCAAACATTTGTAGTACTGCTTGTCCAACTGCTCTAGGCTTTCTTAGCTTCAATCTGACCTTAGTTATTGATCTGAAGTTATATCAGCACCCGTCTTTTTTCTTACTTCTTCAATGGATATTATAAATGCTTTATTCATGTTAATGTAACTGATCTAATTCTCTGTAGTGTTGTCCGGCGAAACCCATGTAGCCTCTGTATGGGTTTGTGATGGAAAACATTGTCACCTATGACTAATTTGTCGAAATCATATAGATTCGTTACTCTCTCATCAAGCTCACTTTTCTTTCCTAGTCCATGTCGACATATTTTAGATTCATATCCAATCTTATTCATCCCTGTCTAGGCACTTAGGTTCCTCATCAAGATGGTCATGTCCTTTCTGGGCACTGCTGTAGGGCGAATTTCAGTGTCTCATAAAACTTATCTCTTCCATCTTCGTTGCTATAATTAGTGGGCCCATAGCACTGAATGTCATTCATTGTAGTCTTTGCCTATTTGGTTTTGAGAGATACTTTGATGATCCACAACCTGTAGGTGTTTCATTCAATAAGCGTTTCTCATGCTTCTTTGGGTAATATCAGTTCAATTTTATCTGTGTGTGGGACGTTTTCTTCTTCATGACCAGCATACAATGATAACTCTCTTGAAGTCACTCTTGCTTTTCAGATTAGGTAAAATGGGTTTCACTCAATTCAAGAAGGTCCAGGTTGTATCTTCTCGTTTCTGGGGGACATCATTTTTCCGATTATTCACTTTATTTACAACTTATTTTATCACACTGGTTGTAACTTAACACCTTACAATAAATTTTCCTACCCTCTTCTTAAATGACCTTCGAAATTTACAGTACATTTTGGACGTATTTCATCTGTAATCGATGCTAAAGTTTACTAATTTAACACACAAGCTTGCCTAATTTACAATTTATTTGCACATGGCTTATGTGGGTTATTGAAATAAAATAATTATGAGTTTATAAATGTAGGGGCTATTGTTGAAATTATTGAAAACAATTATTTGTTCAAATATTCATTGTTTTTCAATCTCAACTATCTCTTTAAATGTATCGTGCTAACAGGCGGATTATACAAATTTCAACAAGGTAATAGGATAGAATTTTACTGTAAATTTCTTGGAAATTAGATGTTTGGAGACAGTCGACAGAAAGCCAGGAATCTAGAGTTTCGTTCTATTGTGTTTGTATCTAAATTGCTTTCGAATGGTCTTATTTCTTTTCGTTCAGATATACTATAGTTCGGACAGAGTTAAAGAATTCTCAACACGAAATACAAAGTTTAAAAAATTCTAGTCTCCAACTTGGAAATAGTCTAAAATATACATATGAAAAGTTTTCCAGTGACCATTTGATTCGGTCCCACTTCAGCCACGAACGTCTTGGAACGATTTGTCTCCCTTTTCATCATCTTTTCATACCATTATATATTTGATTACATTCGATTACATTGAAATCCCCTTTCATTTCTATAAATGGAAGATGAGATAAAAAAATATATACTAAACAGAGTTGTTCTTCCACTTAAATTTCGTAGTAGTTAGCTTCACGTTAGATTGTACGCATATGAATAATTGCATTTACCGTATGTAATAAGTAAATTGAAACTGATTGAATACATGAGAACATTTATTACAAAATTTGTACAATTTGGAAACAGATAAACCAGAAACTTTTGTAATCTACCAAATTAAATCAAATTAAGTAATGTAAGGATGTTGATTAGAAATCGATGAACATTAAGAACTAGGTGTCATCATACCAGTTACTTTTTAATGACTGACCAATAAACTGGACATTTTCAAGACTATAATTGAAAGACAAAATGTTTTGAGATATTTCAGATTTTTATTTTCTTTTGATCGACATCAATTTATTTGATTGAATTCATGAGTCAATTGAAGCTAGACCACCATGGAAAAACTGGAAGCACTGGACGGCCGTTTCATCCCAGTATGGAACTCCTCAGCAGTACGCATCGACGATCCCGCACCCCACGAGATTCGAACCCTGGACCTCCCGGTCTCGCGCCAGGTGCTTAACCAACTAGACCACTGAGCCAGCATCCAGTTGTGGTAATGTCTAATCTCAACCAATCCAATTTATTTATTGGTGAAATCTGTAATATAAACTAAGTTCTTTGTGAGTAATAATAGATGAAAAAGTCTGACTATAAAATTAGACCTCAATAATAGAAACACTATTGTTAAAATACGACACAATTATAGAATATTTATTTTATCAATATCATAATTCACTTTTAACCTTCAATATGTAAGTGGCACATTATTTTGTTCCATAAAAATAACAAAAAACTATGAAAGTTGACTCATTTCCAGGTCGATTGTATTTCTATAGAAATGATAATATAACTTGATTGTTTAACTGAAATCATATACAATTATAAACAAAATCTAAATTTACAGTATTAGTTACTTCATTAATTCTCACCATATGGCTTGAAATATCTAGCATCTGTCGCGAACTCTTATATATATATATACTCATGAAATGGTATCTGATTTCTCCGTTGTTCAATCAAAAAGTAGCTTGTCCTTAACGTTATTTAATACTCTAACAAAATAACAGGCTCATAACGTGTAGACAGATAAATCTACTTAAAACTTGGCAATATATTTTAAAGTAAGTTAGAAATATTCAATTATAAAAGATTCATTGTCTAATATTATGATTCTGTCCTATTTGTATGACAATGTTCAGAATGAAGTTAATAATAAATAAAAATATACTAACAGTTTTTCTTTCGTTGTATACATAGTTTACACTAGAAAATCTTAACTCAACATTTTTTTCGTCACTATTTCAGAGGTATATACAGATTACCAAAAAGTGCAGATCATCCAGTGGATTCGACAGCTGATCGATTTACTCCAGATGAATGTCAAAAAGCTGCTAATAAATTAGGTCTTCGTAGAAGACAAACACGATTTTGTATGCATCCACGTTTTGGTTATGCAATGCTTGCTGTACTTAGAGCTGCACATGCTGTCGGATATCATTGTCCAAAAACATTTTCAGATAGACGATGGGATTGTACTTCTATACATCAATTACCGCATGTATCACCAGAGTTAAGAAGAGGTAATTTATTTTCGTTAATTTAGTGTTTATTCTTTGCGAAATATCAAATGACTTAATAAAAAAATAAAAGTCAATCTGTCGGTAAATATAATGCGTTACTAATCGCTTTATTTAAAAAACTAATTTCTTATGAGTAAGCTAATAAAGTGTAATATTTGACATCGATAAACTAAGTTGAACATACTGTGGTCAAACAACCAGGGAAGACAGCTAGTCAGTGATTTTTCGTTTTTATTTTGCTTACAACAATAGAAAATGAATTATCTAAAGACGTAGAGGCTTAATTCATCCAGTTGTTTTGAATCATATTTAACTTAATATTGTATAGAAGCTCCAAAAATTTTATTGTATGCAATCGATATATATATACCATTGCACCAAATCAAAATTAGGAACTCTTGTTCTCGCGATGGAAGAAATTAAAAGACGTTTTCATAAACAACTCAACTGTAACTCACATATTCACATGGTACTAACTTCAAGGTGAATTTTCTGAAGTCCTATTAAGACTCTGTATTAAGTAAAATTAATACAATCGGAAATAAGTCAATGGTAGATCGATGATATTGAGTGTTAGCCGTTAAATATAAATTTGCTATTTATACACTGATTTTTATAGGAGGTTATGGCTTGTACTTACAAATGTATCAAACAGAATTGGATAAATATAGAGAAACTTATAGTTTATTTGAAAGAACCTACTTGTAATGAAATGTGAAATGTACATTTAGGCTTTTGTAAAAAAAAATCGATAAAGAGAAGGAATTGATACGAGGTTATAGTTTAATCCTCTGTTAGCTGATTTGTTTATAGCAAGTGTAAAAAAATCTTATGCCCAAATCGATAGTTAAAAAACGAGGTTTATGTAAGAGATATGTCGACAAAACTCTCATCGGATATGATGAAAAGTAAAGTGAACTACAAGTACTCTGATTTGGAATAAGTATCATACGTCAGTAAAATTTATAATGGGATAAGAATTTAGCTGAAAATTATTTTCTTTTATGTCTTACTAAAATAAGAGATGAAGCAAATAAAATGTTCACATATAGTAAACGCATTAGATAATACAGAGGATATCTGAAAAAATCAGAGCTACATTCTTGTTAAAACTAAACTACACCTCATTTATTCTTCATCCTAACGTTATCATGGAATCTGTTCAACTTCATAAGAAGCGAATTTTATGGAGGGAAATGTTTACCGTAAACAATTCATAAAAACTTGCGTTTAGTTACTATGAGAATACCTCTGAAGAATTTAAAATACCTAATATAAAGTAATTGCAGAAATCTTAACTTCAATTTGTTTGTTTAATATTGTTTACAAGATCCAGTAGACAGTTATTAAAGTGATAAAGTAACATATAATCTGCACAATCTGTTGAAGCCCACACTTTACAATGCTCGATGTTTTCATCTCAAACAGTCCTTGCACAACTGTTTGTCAGTCGCATAACAACTATCTACCTAAAAATGTCTTTATTTTCGTATATTACAGACACATTAGTTACATTAGTGTGAGAGTGATATGTAAAATCGATATTTTTTAAATATTTATTTTACGATTACTATCGAATTAAATTTACTTTTGTGTTCATATTTTGTGTTTTAGTAAGTCAATTTAAGAAAATAATACCTTTATGATTTTTAGTTATAATATCGTTAGATAACGGTTCATTCTGGAACTTACGACAATAATTCCATTCACTGAAAAGATGTTAGTTAACCATACTGAATCATATCGAATAATCTATCAAATTGCCGTTTGTTAGTCCTTTTAACAATCATAAATGAACTTATTATCACCAACCGTAAAACATCCACCATAATTATAAGCAAAGATGGATGGTGGTTAACAATGGAATCCAGGACACGCGTTTTGTCCTGTTTGGGACTCGTTAGCTGGATAGACCTGTATTCCAGAATTGATGTTCACTCCTGAATTCTACTACTAGCCATCATCCATTTTTGCTTATAATGCCTGTGACTTAAGGTAATATCTAGGAAATCCGCACAGGATGCACATATGCCAATAAGAGGCTGATCAATCGCAGTCATAGACAACGATGGGAAGATTCGAACAAACAATACAAAATGAATTTATTCATTATAATGTTTCCGAAACTGATCTTTACACTGCACTCATAACACATAACTCTTATTTTACCACTTTGGATTACGTGTAGTCACAGTTACTATGGTTATTTCAATCGTCAATTATTTATTAAGCGTCATATATCCCACCCATAACAGTATACTTCGTAAATAAAACTATTTAGTTAGTTTAATGATCCCATCGTATCATAAAAAAAATGATCTGACAGCAAGGTTTGACTTGATAATCTTAAATAAATTGAGCATTGCGCAGATTGTTATAAATAAAAATAATATATTTGCAATATCCCAGTGAGTAGAAACATTAAATTTTCTGACGTTTCATGACAAATCTTGTTCAGAACTAGTTTTTGATTGATCGCATCTAATATTTTTGCTTTGTTTCTTTGTACCATTTAAACTTGGATTAATTTTGATTTAGTTATCTATTCTCTGAAGAAGTGGCTTGCACTGAGTCACGAAACATCAGAAAAGCAATTTTTTCTACCCATTGGAATATTACAAGTATAATACTTTTATTTATATTCTGACCACATATCAATTACCTTATTATTCAAATATTATCCTGTAAATTCACATACGTACTCCCCCTTTGAAGATCTACTTAATTTTTTAATGTTACAGCTATGATCAGTTATTTTGTTTTGTATCTCTTTGCAGAGCCTGTAGACATAGTGTTGCTTTCAGTATAGTGTCATAACTGAACAAATGGATAAGAACATCAACTAAGATAAATTGAACTCAGGTAACTAAATCAAAGCAACATAGTTGACTGAAGTAAATGTGACATTTTAGAAGCAAAAAACATAGCTAATTCATTTGTATTATCTATCTTTTTTAACAATATAACTATTTATATTAAAATAATCACTATTATAGGTACACGTGAACAAGCAATTGTACATGCATTTGCAAGTTCTGTATTATTATTTGAAATTGGACGATATTGTGCATTGAATAAAATTCGATATTGTTCTTGTGGTGATGAAGATGGCAGTTATGCTACACCAAATTATCCTTCATCTCATATATATAAAAATAATAATTTACTTAGACAACATCAATCACAAACTTTGTATAATGATAATAATAATGCATTAGTATATAATTCCGATGGTCATTCAATGAATTCCATTGATACATCTAAATCAAATAATATACCAATGACAGATGGTCAACCAACAGTTAGTAAATTTTATTGGGCTGGTTGTTCTGATAATTTGCGTACAGCTAAAGAATATACATCATTATTTCTTGGTTTTCCAAATGTACATGTAATGTTACCTCCACCAATAGAAACAGATAATCCTAATTTAGATACAATACATGATATGAATAATCAAAATCGTTATAAAAGATCAACATATTCTTCACAAGTTACAGAAAGTAATTATGATACAACACAATTATCTGATATGTTTAGTTTGTTTCAAAGTCAAATTAATGTTAATGAGAATGTAGACGATAGTGTGGGAGAAGAAGATGTAGATGAAGAAAATGAAGAAGAGGATGACAGTGAAATAGATGATTCAGAATTATTCTATTCACAACATGATTATACGGATAGACGACGTCGTAATCTACATAAAACATGGTCATATCAATCTACAGCACAAACCAACAAATATCCGTCATACAATTCAGCACAACAAATGTATGATTCAGTAGATGATAATGATGAAAGATTACCACGTCATCCTAGATCAAAGCAAGGTAGAAAAAAATCCATACTACGTAATTTAAATCGTCATAATTATCTAGCAGGTGTAGTAGTAAGTCAATAATACACATTGCTACAATTATCTCATTATTATCTTTTCTTTGCATACCGTTTAAAGTATTTGTGAATGATAGCGATCTGGATAACATGGTCAATTGATTTATTATCGGTAATTGAAATGAGACTACTTTGATTTTAGTATTCTGTTCAAAAGTTTATAGTTTGTCAAAGCTGAATACTGAAAATCAACTTAGCCTAAGTATTCGCATCTTATGCTCCATGTGCAACGACAAACATTTTATACCAAACAAATAAAACAACAAAGTGAAAATGCATTTCATCTGTCAAAGAGTTTACGTGGAAATTACTTTCAGTGATTGCAGGAATAAACGATAGACCATATGAAGATAGTATACATCAAAAATCAAAATTAATTTGAGAACTACTGAAAGCCAAATGGCAATGTACGACATTTTTTCTTTAGGCTTGAAGCACAGTTCATATAAGGTCCAAAATTGGATCGTCAGGTAGTGTGCTGAAAACGACTCATCGTTTTTTATAGGATTGAAATCTAATAGTTAAAGTTTCCTGTCGAGCAAATTCATGAGGAAATTCATCTATTATCCTAAACTATAGGCAGATAACTCCCTAACACACTGTGTCTTATTAAAACTTCAAAAAACTAACTGGGAATTTACTCACCGGCGTGTGTCTAAATATTTAAGGTACCAATAAATTATTCAAAATATGGAATAGTTTAGCCTTCTTTTTAACATATACCATGAATAAAATGAAACACTATGCTTGAGTGTTGAATGGATAAAACAATAAATTAGGTTAACACTATATAAAGTACAATAAACAGTGAAAATTCAAGTATACTTTGTTCGTACATGATTGTTTACTTCATAGGCTTGTTTCAGTTTAACTTGTAAGTAAAACTTCAAAACAAGACAATGGGCAGTAGGTATGTATATTAATTGTGAGAAGTTACAAAGTATGTACATGAGGCATATTTAGGGAGCCTAAAATCGTCCATTTGCATCTTTCGGTGTGTTCTGCAATTTCAACTGTCTTATCGACTGGCCTCCAAGTGTTTTGGGAACGCCATGCTTTTGATACACTGAAATTCTTCACTCCGGCTGACAATTGCTGCAACTTTGACACCATATTCCGCTACACGCTACATACAAGCCTTCTTATGAGTAGCGTCCATTACAGAATTAATAAAGTATTTATATCAGCTTTCCATTTTAATGAATTTTTAATTCAATGAGTTTGATAGTACTCATGTGGAAACGCGTTTTGTTAAAAATAGAGAAAAATGAAATTCTTTTTCAAAATGTTTTTGTTTGAATGTACACATAAATAATGTAAATTTATTCTCAAAATAATTGGGATACACAAAGAGAAATGAAAACATCACTTAATAATTTGTTATACCTTAATTTGGTAGATATACTAGTTAATGAATTCTTTACATATGGATATTTGAACTAATTCAAGTATTCGAGCTTCATGTATTCACTAAAGTCATAAGTAAACCCTAATTATATTGTTCATTTTATTATTATTTAGTTGTAAAAATACTAATTACTATCACTCATTAATTATAGATGAATTTCTTCCCATGAATGAAAATGTCAATGAAATAATAGAATTGAGTACTTTTGTTCCCTTTCACTTCTTATAAGTGCCTAATCATATATGATCCGTCAAATAGTTTAATGTAAATATAGTCATCTATTGTATACTGAATAAGTTCTTTTGAGAAATGGATTAACGATACAGTGAGTGGTTACGGACATAATGACAGTAAATGACTAGTTGACAAGTATTCATTAAATTGAGCATATGCCAGTACTTTATTCAAATTATTACAGTAATCAACTTCACGAGAAATCATGTGAAAGTATGTAGAGATGATTACCAAGGTTTGACTCAGAAATTTCAAATAAATTGAGCATTGAGTAGACTGATATTCATAAAAATAATAAACATTCTCTAATAAGTTGGTTTACAGAGAGCTACAAAACATAAGAAAATTGAATTTTTCTACTGATTAGGGTATTATAAATATATTGATTTTATCAGGAATGTGACAGTAATTTCAAAAATGACAGAAAATATTTCGAACTTGAACATAATATGGCTTATTCACGAAGTGTGGATCTATAAACTAGACTTTCAGATCTACCATTCATGTAACGGTTAATGATACTATAGTGAAAGAGAACACATGCAATCAAATGTACTGGAACATAAAATTACATAATATTTTAGTAAAATCTGAGGACCATACAGTAAATTCTTTAATTTCGAAATGTCAAACAATTGTCTCAAACTTGACTGTTTCCTCTGCAAAATGTTAATCAATTGTCTCAGACTTCATTGTTCCTTCATTTCCACATGAACCATTCTCTGTTCCCGTTCTCTTTTTCTTTGGTCTTCTTCACCTTCTATCTCCAAGTATTTTACTTTCGATTGGTACATACTACTTATATTTGTCAACATCAGTAGCACATAAAACAATGTGACAACAGCATTGGAAATAATTTCAGAATTCATTTGTGGGGTTCTTTTCATAATTAGTTTAGGTAACCGTTTTTGAATATTAAGATAATTATAATGTGTATCATAACAAAATTTCAGAAGTTTAAATAAAAAGAAGATTTGTGATGTGAATTGATCAAATTATAATTACAATTCATTGAGAGGAAAAAAGATATTAACATGTTATTTGGGCTGTTGATAGTTAACTACAGACTTTTTGTGAATACAAAGGTTAATTTCAAGCCTTCTGGTTGCTATGATTTCTTTGAGTCTTAATAACATGGAATTATATTGTTTATAAATAACTTTGAACGAGTTCATTGGATTCACGTCATATCCCGTGTTTAGTAGGTAACGTACTATCGACCTATGTGATTAGACTTCTCCTCGAAGGTGTAGGATATTTTGAAATATCTCCATTTAATCGAGTAAAAGCCTATTCGTTGTCCCTCTAATATATGTGGTTTTGTATGTACAGGCAAATTGATGAATGCGGTTAGGGGTTATATTTAATAGATATTTGTCTACTTTAGTTTTGATTATTGATCATAGTGTTATGTATAGTGAGATGAACTTCACAGCTCAAAATGTACTTTATAAAGCTGCTTATAGTGTTCAATTGATTTTATTCATCATTTGATCACCTTTAAACGACAATCGAATAAAAACTTTTATTCTAGTATTCTTTTGTTTTACTTCACTATTCGGGACTATATTTTTTCACAATTGGCTTAGGATATCCGTTTACTAAAGATAATTATTTATTACAGTGTATTTCTCTTCGAGCTTTTTTGATGAACGCAACTTTCTGGATATTTAGAAGAGTATTTTCATCAACCCATATTTTATAAAGTAACAAACGATAATTCATATAGATGATATTTTGTTTATCTTAATGATAAAGTGACCATACATTGAATTGGAAATCAATAATAAATGTATTATGACTAAACTACCCAATAGTTTAATGATTTTTTATGAAAACATTAAGTAAACATTTATTGACGGTTAAACAGCTTGCTTACTATTTGTGTTCGTACAATTCACTACCTTCATAATAAAATCTAATATGCAACAGTTTAATAAATATGAAACACCTAGTTAATAATAACTCAGATATTTCAGTGAAGAGCCGTGACAAATGAAATTCATTCACATCGGGTATGAGAGAAATATTAGTAATGACAATGCATAATGTTTTCTAAATATGACGTATTAATTGAAGTTAGAAATGAAAGTTATTGAGTGGTGATCCAGTAATCTTTTATTGGCCCGAGTTCTAACTTTAATTCGACCGTATGAATGATTGTTATTGAAATATATATATAGCCTATTCTCGTATATAATCATCGATTTAAATCGCGTTAGTCAATAACGGAATTAAATAAGTCGAATAACGAGAATGGACTTGTGAATACATATATTTTGTATATAAAGCGAATGGAATGGAGAGAAGAGAAACGATGCAGAGTGGAGGTGGCGGATAAGCCAACTCCCATTTAACCAAGCGTTAATCAATATTTCTAGTTACACAAAAGTAAGTTACAGACATGTGATGAGTAATGGGATAAGAAATGTACACACACCTGCGCGCTCATATCAAAACAGTCAAGATTGATAAGTGAATAAATATAACAAGGTCAGAATGTGACTCAAGTAGAATGAATAGATTGGGCTGTCCGAAAGCTAGATAAAGTATATGGGCTTAATATAATAACCGACACTACAATCTGAAGGTTACACTTTGATCTTCAGCTCTGAAGGTTCTTAATTCTACTCTTATTCAGCAGTAATGAACACATAATATTGAAGAATCCTACACTATGGTTAAACAAGTGCCTAGTCCTGTCCGGTTTTTTGACTGTTATATAATTAAGGTCAATCTGTAATGTAAAACTAAAGTTCTCAATCACATTTATAAAACACCATTGAAATCATTCAACTTTATTTCGTTCATCAAGTTTATTTGATAAAATAAACATGGAACATATGAACCTCATTCATAAGTATATTTATATCAGAAAGAGTTTTATGGATATGTAGTAATTTCAATAGTTGAGATCATGAGTCAATTGAAGCTAGACCACCGTGGAAACCTGAAAGCACTGAAGTTATTTCAAGTAAAACGATATGCACTATATCTATCCATTCCATAAAATCTTTTGTTTGTTTGATAATATATTACAAAATATATGACTTTTTCCTATCCTTGAACAAATTCATACATAAGTAGTATTGTGTTTTTTTTATTTCTTCCTTGTATATTTTAACTTTAAGTTTAATCGAATTATTCTTTCTTTATTCGTTAAAGTAATAAGGCTTGTGTATCATAAATTATTTCTATTCACGAACTTTCTTCATCCATTTCAGTTCAGAGATACAAGTCACATAATTATTAACACACTTTATACATTAGTAATCATTAAAACTAAACATTAACCGATAAATACCTGTATTTCTTTAATCTTTTAGGAATACTTTCTCACTTACTATTTACTT